CCTGCTTCCACAGTACTAGCTTTCACATTGTTCTTTGTTTCCTTGACAGGTAGAAACTGTTTCTGTTTCTCCTCATGAATACTGTATGTGTGCCACTGAGCAGCTCACGGTGACAGCTAAAATTCAGCAAGAGTCACCAAAGGACATTTTTCAAATGTGTTTCTTTGCCCTGTCTTCAAGTAGAACAGGTTAATAAGAATAAGGGCTACTTGCATTGTTCTGTGGAGAATGAGATCTTCATTGTTTGAATAACTTTATGTTCTTGTTAAGTTTGGAGAGATGTCAAAAAATGTGGTTTTCATTTTTTTCTAATCCAATTTAACAGTTTGGTCTGTAAAATATTGTTAAAATGGAAGTTGCTTTCTTGGGTTAAAAAATAACTTGTTTTACACATTAATCTGTATTGTAAATTGTAGAGAGTGAGAAGTGTTCAGAAGAGAAGGGCACCACAGGATACCTGTGCCAAACTGCAGTGGGAAATGGGGAACAAGCATGGGGGAAAGGGGAAATTTAAGAAAGTGGGTGAAAAGTACATGGTTAGTTTTCAAGAAATTGAAAGCTTGATTCATTATTTTAAATAGGGATTAGCAGGTGTGCAATTTCAGTATCCAGTCCTCTGAAGTACTGAGCACTAGAACTGGTCAAACAATTTCCAGGGGAACGCTTTTCCGATGGAAGATTCTGATCCCACAGAATAGAAATGTTCCGTATGAACATGTCGATTCTGTCAAAACTTTTAATGGACACCCGGCACCCCCGATGCCCCAACTCCCGTGGCAGCTGCCTCTCAGGGCTGCCCAACTGCCCAGGAAGCCAGAACCCTTGAGAATTGAACAGCACAGGGAGGCAGCTGCCTGGGGAGTCATTGCAGCTGGAAGTAAGCTGACAATTTCCATTTTGTCTCACCCAAAAGGGAATTTTTTAGAATGTTTCTTCTAGTGAAAAAAATTCAATTTTTTGCTAGTTCTTCCCAATTTGGAATGAAATGTTTATCCAAAAAATCCCAATTTTCTGTGGGAAGGAAATACCATTTTCCAGGCAGTTCAACTAAGCACCTTCAAGTTCTACTAAACTTGACACCCCATAGAGACAGACACATCCTCGAAAGTCAATTGAACTTAGGCTCCTAAGTCCCTGATGTCACTTCTGAAAAAGGTATTTAGTTATCTAGGGCACTTAGGTCTTGCAATGCTGAGTAGAGCAATGCCCAAATGCCTTTAAAAATCTGGACCCAATCGTGACCACTGTTGTGATGTCTGTCCAAGAACGCAGAGAGGGTGGAATGATAGCTCTGAGAGGTGTGAATTGCCCCATTTTTCTTTATGGAGTGTTTATTCATATGCCCAGTTACAATAATTTAAATGTCAACATTGTTAACTAATTCATTTCTGTTCAAAGCAGGTAAGAAAGGAAAGGAAAGATCATATTATGAGAATGTGCACAACCTACTGTGAGGGCTGGCTGGTGTCCACTGAAAAAATACATCCTGTTAGAAAATGTGTTAATCAACTAACACAGGGATCGGCAACCTTTGTCATGTGGCCCATCAGGGAAATCCGCTGGCAGGCTGGGATGGTTTGTTTATTTCCGGTGTCCACAGGTTTGGCCGATTGCAGCTCCCACTGGCTGAGGTTCGCTATTCGAGGCCAATGGGGGCTGCGGGAAGTGGCGCAGGCTGAGGGATGTGCTGGCCGCCGAACATGTTAGCTGCTCATGGATAAACCATGGGGGGATTTTTTGAAACATTTGGCGGGGCTTGATTTGTGGGTGGAGGTTGGAGGAGAGCTACTACATTTTCCCCACCTTATGTTAGATATCTCCAGGTAGAGCTTTTACATATATTCTTCCAAGCTCTCTTTCTTAGCATGTGAGCAAATGCTCAGTCTTGAGAAGACATGCTATGTTTTGTTACTTTTAGGCAGGAGAGGTTCTGGGTTGAGGGAACCATGTAAGAAACATAAGAGTCTTATTTGGTCTCTTATTGTGTAAATTCTTAAGGAAGAGTTGCTGCTTGCTGGATGAGCTTTCTGAGGAAAAAAAGGATTTCCTGCATGCTGTTTGTGACCATCTCCATTCCAGAACTCATAGAGATGTGTAATTAAAACAATATCCAGACTCTATGTCACTGATGTCTCCTCCAATGGAAAATTGAGCCGCAAGGCTCAGGCATTTGTTATTGCTCAGGAAAGGGGAAATTATATCAGACAGATTATTACTAATACTAATTTTTTGCTATAAAACTAGATTTAATTGCCGTATACTCAGTTTTTAGCCTTGACGCTCGGAAGGGAAAGACCAGGGCTGGCTCCAGCGTTTTTGCTGCCCCAAGCGGGGGGAGGGAGGGGAAAGCCGCAATCGGTGGCACTTCGGCGGCAGCTACTGCCGCCGCTTCATTCTTCGGCAGCAGGTCCTTCCCTCCGAGAGGGATGGAAGGACCAGCCGCCGAATTCCTGCCGAAGAGCCGGACGTGCTGCCCCTTTCCATAGGCCACCCCAGGCACCTGCTTGCTGTGCTGGTGCCTGGAGCCGGCCCTGGGAAAGACTAACATGGTTACTTTTCTGACAGGTTTCAAGTAAGACCATACTAATGCCACTTGGCTTTCCCTTTGCCCATTTTTTGTAAGGAGAGGGACTAACTCTTTTTAAAGGTTTTAAAAGGTTCTATCATTGAACAATACATAATTATTATTTTACAAACTGTAGATGGGATCCTGGCATTCAGCACCTTTTTACTTTAGATTAGCCCTTCATATGAAAGGGATAAATATTGTTATGGGCTTCCTCCTCCCCAATAGCTTGGTTAACAGTGTGGTTTAGAGAGAGCAGGGGGAATACGATTGAACCAAAATGTTCTTTTAGAGGGTTGTGCCACATATTGCCAGCTACGGGGAGGCAGACACTGCTGTGCGAGGACTGTGACAGCATTAAAGTGTGTTGGATATTTTAGACCAGTGTTTCTCAATGATCAGTCCATGCACTGGCGCCAGTCTCTGAGCTTTCCCTGACACAGTCTAGGAAGGTATGAAGCCAGTCCCTGGTATCAAAAAGGTTGAGAAGCTCGGTTTTAGACAATATGGAGTTGCAGTCTCCATTCACTTACCCTGATGCTACAATATTAAGTCTGAAACTCCTAGTGGTGGCCCTCAAATATAGCTCTGAGTACTTTCCACAGAACACTTAGGGCTTTTCAATGAAACCCAGTTAGCCATATTCATTCTAGGTATAACTTAATTAAAGACCTCTATGGATGGATTTGGCACAACGGGTTTAGAAGACAGTTATCCCTGATTCCATGACCAGTGCTTCTTATACTACTTGGTAAGCCAGTTCTGTTATCTCTCCTGGCAGTGGGATGTCAGCAGCTACCATGAATTCCATAGTTGTTATACTTTTGTCATTAGAGCATCATGATGTGACAGCCCCATCTCCATTCCTCAAATCCTATAGTGTCATTAAGTGACCCCTACACAGTTTCTGCATTCCACTTCTTCCTTAACCCAACTGATCCTCGGGCATAAATATAAGGAGAGACAAGGGATACCTCCTCCCAACTTTAAGCCTTGGCAGACGACAACATGTAATCCACCAACTTTTGGCGGTCTGTAGAGAGGAGGGGAATCATCAGAGCGGAGGATGAAGACAGTCTGAGGCTGCTTTCAGCAGCAGTGCTCAGGCCTGTGTCCCTTGGCGCTCTACCTGCTGCTAACAGACAGACAGACAGGGGAGTGAAAGTGTGATATGGGTTCAGAGGCACATGGGGATTTGAGGGTAGAGAGCGGGCTTGCTGGAGACAATGAAGGAGTTGTGGGAAGTAGAAGAACTGGGTGATGTCACATGGAGAAGTCTGGGTGGTGAAGGAAAATTGGGGCATTTAAAAACAGGGTGAAACTTGCCATTATGTTTTCCTGAAGGCAGTCAGGGAGAAAGTAACTTGTATTTGAATCTTTTTCCGATCAGTGATGGGAGGTGGTCTTGCAGTCTCTGTCCTCCCCCACCTTTGGTTCAGATATACTCCACTGCCAGTTGAACTTGACAGTTGTTGGCAACCAGTAAAATCTGTGTATGGTGCGCTGCAACTACAGTAATAGAACCCATCAGTCAAAGCCTTATCACCTATTATTTAGATGGGCTACTTGGCTTCATATCAGAGTTAGTTATAAATGGGCACTGCAGCCTATGAGTCTTAAAGATTTTAATTAGTTCTAAGATAGACAATCATCATATTCCCTAAGAACGCAGTCATCATTTTCTTGTGCTGAGTGCTTCTTTCTTTTTTTCCCTACAGTATCACCTGTGCAAAACTTCGTAATTAAAATATTAACATTGGGGAACTAAAGAATTCAAAGAACCTATATAATATGGCTTCATTATACATTGCTCAGCATTAATTCTCTGAAATCTAGGCATATCAGGTACATAGAAATGTTGTGAATTTGATCATAAGAGATTTAAGATGCCTGATGAAATAGTGTGGCCACCCCTTTTCTCCCTTCAATTACAACTGGGATTTTAAATACTACACATGCATGCACACACACCTATTCACATGAGTATACAGCCCCGCACAAATATCTCTATGCCACATATTATATACAAACACATGTGAGTTTATACAAGTAGATTTATACATATTATGGATTTAATCCTGATCTGTTTGAAGGCAATGGCAAAACTTCCACTGAATTCAACTGGGCTAGGATCTCACTCTGCATATGTGTGCATAATGTTCATATATAATGTACATCCATCCATAAGTGGATGTGCATGTGTGTGTATCTGCATCTAATGTAAGCCTGTATGAGACCAGCCATAAATAGTTTTGTTATTTTGTTACATCAGATGAAAATAATATTTTGAATCTTCACTTGAGACACTATTTTAAGCACATTTTTATTATCTCCTGTTGCACATTGCCTTCAGCAGGAGCACAAGAATGTAGTAAGAAGAAATGCATTTGCTCTGTACATATTTAATCCTTTCCCTTTTACTCCTTTCACACAGCGACTGAAAGATTTAAAACAAAGGGAATTTGCTCGAAATGTGGCTTCAAAGTCATGGAAAGATGAGAAGAAACAGGAAAAAGCACTCAAGCGGCTCCACCAGCTTGCTGAATTACGGAAGCAGTCTGAATGGCAAGTATTTAAAATTTATGTTACGTTTTAACACCCTCTTTCCTCATTCCCAGAAGAAATCTCTAACTTTTATTCCTGCTTTCTGTAATGTACAGAGAGCACATCTACTGTAACCCATTTTTAGTTATCATGGACTCCAAATGTTCCTGTTCTGAAAACCATAAAATTGAAAGACCTTCAATTAATTACTTGGCATCTGAAGGTTTTGTGTTTTTCTCCCCTGTAGCCTGTTAATCTAATCTCCTCTGAATTGAGTGATTTGAAGATGATTTTACAAGATCAGCATTTTATCTTATTAAAATTGACCTGAATAGGCTAGTATAACTCTTAGTAGTTTGTAGAGAGTGAAAGGAAAAGGCTAAACAGACCTTAATGACTCTGTATTGAGTCTGCAAAGCCTTTCATTACTTTTAGTAGACTTATGCTATTCAGGTAGTTTCTCTCTAGAGTAAAAGACAGTATCATTGTGTCAATGAAAAACAGATGTAATTAGCTCAGTTAAATTTACCCAGTACTGTAGTTAAACTGATGATAATAATAGAGGTACAGTACAATATTTATACTAATAAAACTTTATGTTTGACAAATCTTTGTTTAATGACACTTACATACACTAAATACTTCAACAGAGTAGGTTGTTACCAGACCTTCAATTGATGTTAATCTGTGACCATAATGGGTTAATTAAACTGTCATTCTTATGTTAAAAACAAACCAAGTTTTCAGTACAGTGGAAATAATAACATTCATGGTGTACTATACAACGATTTTAGGCCAATTCAATCTTTTTGGGGTAAAAGGTTGAAGTTGTCACTTAGCACTCTGCATTAGGGCTGACTGGAAAAAAATAATTCTATTTCATGAAAATCTTCAAGGTTTCAGAATCTGTTTTCTGTTTGATGGAGAACAAAAATGAGATCTTTTGAAATTCCTCGTGAAAAAACATGAGTGCAAGAACCCACAGTAACCAATATTCCAGTAGGTAGGGCACTCACATGAGATATAGAAGATGCAGATTTCAGGTCCCTGCTCTGAACCAGGCTATGGCATCAGTCTCTCTCTCTTTCTTTGGCCCATAAATATTCAATGATTTATACAAAACAGAGCAGCTCCAACAGCAGAGTTTTAGGGTACATCTACATGTTGAGCGGGAGCTGTAATTTGCAGTTTGAGGAGACACACCCACTCTAGTTCTGATCAAACTGGAGTGTTAAAAATAGAATGTAGCTCCAGTGGCATGAGCACTGGTGTGAGGGGTCTAGTTGCCCAAGTATGTACCTCGTGTCTCAGATGGGATAGTACACTAGGCAGCCTGCCCTTCCCACTGCTTGAGCCACTGCAGCGACACTTCTATTTTTAAGGTGCTAGCTCAATCAAAGCTAGAGTGTGTATGTCACCTCAAGCTGGAAATGACACCTCCCGCAATGCATAGACGTAGAGTGAGAGAGATTGACTCCATAGTCTGGTGATTAGGGCATTCACGTGGGATATGAGAGAACCAGCTTCAAGACCCTGCTCCAAATCAGGCTTCAATGAATGAGCATTTTCCATCAAAAAATATTTTGTTGAAAAAATTCCTGACCTGCTCTACTAAGAATGACTGCAGTAGAATAGTCTTCAGGTAAAGTTGGGTTTTCATACAACTTAATTAAATGAAATACACTTACCTGTGAAAAGGCTCTTTATGCCCTTCTACATCAGAGGGATAAATTGTGTGCTGTCCCCAGACAGACTGATAAGATAGGGAGATAACGCCAACATTGGGCTGGGAAGGAATCAATACATTGGCTTTTAGAAAGATCCTGCTACCCCTAACTCCTGATAGGGGGCAAAGAAAGGTAGTAGTTGCTATTTCTATCCACAGTGGCTGGAATAATGGGTGCAGAGAGCGGTAGTACAGTGCTGCATCGCTGCCCCCATGTTAGGTGTCCTAATGCCAGCTCTCAATTGATCTGGGGAAAGGGTAGCCATAAACAGAGGTCCTGCTGTCACCAGAGTCACAACTAGCGCTTTGAAATGTATTGCAAGTTTCACAAGAGCTGAGCTCCCTATGGGTCTAAATGCTGGCTGACTCAAAGTTACTACTAACACATGCATGGATACATACTGATACACCAGCATTAGTAGACACCCTGAAAAGACCACCACCACTCACTGCACCCCCTAAGAGATTATTCTTGCATGACACACAAATAAATGGCATGGGAACGGCATAGGAGCTCTCATTGCTAAATGAGGGGCATATGCATACACAGCCCTGGAACATGCCTCTGATGCTAACCCAGAATTTTCCTTTTTGGATCTCACTGCCGAAGGCCTGCAGGTTTTAAGTGACATCAGAAACAAAGCAAATAAATGGACTCCCCACACTCTCCCTCTACTCATACTTTTAGACACAGGTAGAATTTTTCCCAGTACTGAGTTAAAATATTTTCCAGTTTCACTCAAATTCTGATTTCATGTCCAAAATGCTTGGCACGGATGTATTATGTACTAGTTCTGCTACACTGCATTGATTGCAAGAGCAGATATTTGTCTAGCAAAACTCATTTTTAAAGCATAAGTAAAGAGACCATTAGTCCAGTGATCATATATGTCTGATCTCGAATGCAAAACAACACAGAGCAGTCATTCTTGTTCCCAGTTGGTCACTTATTAGAAGGACAGACTGCTAGAGTTCTGGGTCAAAGCTACATTAAAATATCTTGAACTGAAAAGAAATATTCAGGAAGGTAAACTATACATTTAAATCTAAAAGGTTTGGGAAAAGGGGAAAAAATACAAGGGAGTCAAATATAGGATGAGGAGATGCGAAAATGATAGCCAAATACTGGTGGGTACTGAGACTAGTCTCGATCAACACCATGTGTAATTGCCATGACCATTAATGGAAGTTGGCTGCATGCACCAAGGAGAGAACCCATGTCCTTTGGTATCAAAAAGTGAGGGGGAAGTGTTATAAAACAGATGAGATAATTTATAGAAAGGAAGTTAATGCAAAATACTAAAGTCTTATGGTAGCTTGGATGCGTTTTTTAATACTTAACGTCTCTTTGAATGTTTCACAAAAGAATTGTATTGCAGAATAAAGTCCCTTATATTACAAAGAAGAAAAAAAAAGAAGAGGGCATTAAAACATGTTAGCTCTGAAAGAATCACACTGAGTAATATACCTGAGAAAAATCCCTTTTCTCACTTAGGGCCCAATTCTGCCATTCTTCCATGTACAAATCTCCCTTTTGTTGGAGTTTTGCATGTGGCACTTCACAATCAGAACCATAGTCCCTATGAAAAGCTGACCTAAATTATCACGGGCCAGATTCTGATCTCAGCTGCACTGGTATAAATTCATAGTAACTCTACTAAAGCCAATAGAGTTTGCTCTGGATGTACAAAATGTGGCTATGTGCTCAGTTAAAAGCATGCCAGTTACTGAGAATAAAGACTTTCTTTGCTTTTTTAGAGGTGGCCTCGGCCGGAGTGAATTGCATTTATAGGCTATAGAAACAATCTAATAGCTTTCAATTTCAACAGCATTAATGACCCCCTCCTTCAACAGACTGAGCCTGAGAAATGTTAATCATTTCTTATTTCAATTATTTAATTAAAAATCCATTCATTTTATTTCTTTATTTATAGCATCACAGGCAGCAGACCAGTGTTTAAAGCTCCCAGGCTGGAGGTGGAAAAGCAACAACTACAAGAAGGAATTTTCATAGATAAAAATGGCAGAATCACAGCAGGTACCAAGAGTATGGCTCTGTGTGAAGGACAAAATCACTCCAGAAGCATGTTAGAGAAACAACAGGCGCTTACACTAAACAAGCACCAATCACATACCGAGAGACCCTGTTCGCTTGGAAATCAAGCCTCACAAGCATTCTCAGATGGCACCAATATTAGTCACAGGACAGGAGTTTCTTTTTCTTTCTCTAAAAAAGCCCAGTTAAAGTTAGAGTCATCAGCATCAGTTTTCAGTGAGAACACTGAAGAAGCATATGATGGTAGTGAATCACCTAACCATAAAACAAAACAAACGCCTGAGGGCTGCCAGTCTTGCACAGTTTTGTGTGAGGATACAAAAGCAAGTGTGGATAGAGGATTAAATATCCCACAAGGTCAAATGGATATCATTGCATCAAGCAATACAGCAGCAAAAACTAAAACAGTCAAAGAAACTGAGAAAAACAGCGATAAAGAGTTAGAAGAAATTGTCAGCGCTCATTCTTCATTCTGCAAAACTGAAATGCAGCTTTCACATTTGGATTTGACTGGTTCGATGAGAGAAACAGAACAACAAGGTGAGTTGAATGAGACTGAGAAATTATTGGAAACTCTCATTTCACCTCCAAGCCAAACTACCAATCTTTGTACCCAGCAGAACCCTTACAAGCACAGTGATATCATGCTAAGTGACCTCTTAACGGAGTTCCCACCACAACACCCAGCTGAGCAGGGATATGTAAGTGAGCTGCATTACAATCCCAGTGTGGTCAAGACAGAGACATTCTTTGAGAGTTCAGGAACTGTGAATAGAAGCACAGAAATGCTACCAAGTGAGACGTTGGTTAAGGAGATGAAGCCCAAAGCATTGCCGTTTCTTCATGTACTGAGCAAAGATGGCAGCACTGCCCTTCAGTGGCCCACAGAACTTCTTTTGTTTACAAAAACTGCACCCTGTATTTCCTATGGCTGTAATCCATTATATTTTGACTTTCGACTTTCTCTAAACCATAGAGATCGTAAAGAGCATGAAACAAACACAGAAAGGTGTAGTGAGCCCCCTACAAATACGAATGCAGATGAAAATGAAACCTCAGGTTTAATAGAAGACAAGCAAATGTCAATGGAACAAGATAATCAGTCACTGAAACCAAAGAAGATGAAAGATTCCAAAACCCATAACAAAGCCCAGCAAAAAGCTGATTCAGACACAGAGAAAGAAATGAATGGAAGTGATCAAAAGTACATTTCACATTATTCGAATGAAAACATACCCAAAGTGCCTGCTTTCCTTGATGTCTCACAAAAGGATTATACAAGAGAAAGAAGTCTCCATACCAGAACACCTAGGAGATCTTTAAAGCACCATTTGCATAGCTGTGAAAGAAGAACTAACAGTGATGGAAATGAAGGCATTTCCTTTTTGCCTTGTGTGTCTAGGACTAAAAGGCATAAAACTGCAAAATGTGATTTAAGTTATTCTGAAGAAATACATGAAAACCAAAACAACTGCAAATCCATTCAAAACTGGCCTGGATGCAGCAGTGATGTAAGTGACAGTGGAAAAGATTCGATTGGAAGTTTCCTTAGTTATAAATCAAGTTCTCAAAGCAGGTATTCGGAAAATGAAGGGTGTGGAGGTTATACAAGATACTGGAGATTCTCATCCTCCCAAAAGTCATCCTCTGACAGACATTCTAGCTATTCTGACACTTCCATTAGCAGTACAACTAGCTATGTAAGTAGCTCCTCTAGTCACAGATCAAGTGATCACAGTAGAAGTCACTTGCTCTTCTGTTGTAAAAGAAAAAACAAGACAGTTGAAAGGCACAAACGTAAACACAGAAAGCACAACTGTATTTCCTCTTCTGATGATGCAGATGAGGATTACCTTTTCTACAGTAAAAGTCAAAGAACTAGAAACTGGACACAGAGGGATACAATTAAATATCAAAGACATTCAAGATGTAGAGATTTACACCATAGAGACAGATCAAAGCAAAGCAGAAATACACACCGACATTCTGGCAGAAAATACAGCAGAAATAGAAGACACCACAGCTCCAAAAGTTCTTCCACCAGACATTCAAGAAGCAGTGGAAGATCATCTAGCTGCAGAAGATCAACAGCCAGTAGTTCAGGATCCTTCTCAAAAGAAACAGTATATTATTTGAACAAAAGCAAGGAAGAGACAGAAGGCTGTTACAGCACTGAACCAGGAAAAACAGAATCTACACATTTTGACTCACAGAATGTGAATTGTCAGTCAAAAAAATTTCATGTTGGCTCTTCTGAAAATTCAGCAAAAGACACAGTGAGAGACAGAACGTCATTGACAGCCAGGCTACTTTTAGAAAGAGTGAAATCCAAGAAAAACCAAGAACAAGCACACAATTCAGAGGGATTTTCAAACTACTGTGTGATGGAATTGGAGGATAACTCACAAAGTCACTTTGCTAGTAAATTTCCATCATCAGTAGGTGACATAGCAATATTACCTATGCCTGAAAAAGCCCTAGATATAAGTAAAAAAGTTTTAAGGAATGAGGAAACCAGTTCATTAGAAAGCAGTGCAAAGAAAGACAATTTTGAAGCTTCACAGAGAAATAATGTTACTCGTACAACAGGCACTAATTATGATAATTGCCTTTTTAAAGACATAATTCAAATAGGAATAGGCTATCAGGCTCCCGGCATAAAAAGGAACACAGCAATAAAGGAACAATCAAATCTCTTAATTAGTGAAGTACAACCTTTTATACAAAGCTGTGACCCGGTACCAAATGATTTCCCTGGTGCTTTTCCTTCTAATAAATATTCTGTTGTTAATTCAGCAGAGACCAAAGAAGAAGTACATGATGTAAGCATGAACTTGCATCGAGTGGAAGGAAATGTAAACACTGATTGTGACAGTGCTATGCATAAGTGTGATGAAACAGAAAATGAGCTAGAAATGTACAGGAAATCCATCTCCCCTCCTTTAACTCAACAGCCTATCACATTTTCACCTGATGAAATAGACAAGTACAGGTTACTTCAGCTGCAAGCCCAGCAGCATATGCAGAAACAACTCCTGGCAAAGCACCTTAAAGTTTTGCCTGCCACAGGACCGTCTGCCTTCTCTGCAACACCAGCAGTTCATTCTGTTCCCAGTCAGCATCATGCTTCTGTCACCACAATCCACCATACCCTTCTGCAACGCTTTGCGGTCTCCACTTCTGTACATCCTCACAGCAGTCATCTTTCCTTGACCAACATGCACCCACTCTCCGAATCATATTTCACTCCTATATCACTTTCCCCGTTAGCTCCAACCATCATTCCTTCCCACCCTACTCTACTGACAGGACGCCCACTGCATTTGCTCTCCACCACACCCATTCACCCTTCCTATCTGACCCTCCCATCATTGCCACATACTGCATTTATCCCTACTTTATTCACTCCACACCTGAATGCAGCTGCTGCCCTACATCTGAATCCTTTAATTCATCCATTGTTCCAAGGGCAAGATCTTCACCACCATTCTTGCTCTAGCTAGACCCTGCTGTTACCTGGACTGAGAGACATTTTCCAAGGTTTCTAGTTATTTAAATTAGCAAAACTATTACTCCTTTGCTCCAAAAAGAAATTTGAAGAAAAACTGGCATTTCATAATCAGTCACACATCCAAAGGGAAGTGGTAGGAGCACATCAGCAATATTTAAAAGTCAAGGAAAGTGACAGAATATGAATGTTGATTTAGTTTTCACATCACCAAGGGCTTGTCTTCACTGCAGGGTTAAGTCGATCTAAGTTATGCTACTCCAGCTACGTTATTCACATATAACGTAGCTGGAGTCAATGTAACTTAGGTTGACTTACCCCGGTGTCTTCACTGTGTTGCATCGATGGGGGATGTTCTCCGGTCAACTTCCCTTACTCTTCTTGGAGAGCTGGAGTACAGGGGTCAACTGGAGGGCACTCTGCAGTCGATTTAGCGGGTCTTTACTAGACCCGCTAAATCAATCACTGCTGCATTGATTGCAGCAGCGTCAATCTCCCTATAGTAGAGACAAGCACCATGTGAAAACTAAAACTAGAAGGAAGCAGTAATGCTAACTTAGTTCTGCAGAAGGAATTAGAATATTGGCAGAACTCAGTAGCTCTAAGTTTCAGTGGGGCTGGAGCTGGTCTTGAGATGTGGGGAACTGTACCTGACACCCTCATGCTTTGTTTTCTCCCCTGCCAAGCAGAGCTCTAGAGAATCTTGCCCAAAGAATCTATATATACTTTTCTCAAAAAAATGTGTACCCCTTCTCAGAAAATGTTTGCTGGAAATTATAATGTTACATTGGTCTCAGCTAGGCCCAACATCAGCATGGTTAGTTTTTGCAAATAATTCTCTGTATGTGGTCTTTGGTTAGGGAACCAGAATTTCACCAGAAAGGTGAAATTCTACCTCTGTCCTATGCAGCACCACTGAAGCTAATAGTGATGCATGGGTATAATGCAGAGCAGAATTGACAACTGTAGTGGAAAACTCTCAACAGTATGAAATAAAACTGGACTGAAAAAAACAACTGGTAAAAATGAACATGCAATGAAGTTCCTAACATAATTTCCAAAATTCTCAAAGTACAAGTTAAGGCTGTGATTCAGCAAGGCACTGAACCACGTGCCCAACCTTCAAACACATTAGAAATTCTATTGACATCAATGGGTGTACTCATATACCTAGAGTTAGCTGTGTGCTTCAACGGAGCCTCAACTGATTATATTTTATGGTGGTCTAATACTCAACACTGAATACTCTGTATGAAATTAAGTTCTTGATTGCAGTTAGAGTACAGCTATGCCTGTTAATATCACTGGCCAACAAAACAGCTGATTCCTGTTAATTTGGATTTAGTGCACAGTTGATAATCTACACATCCAGAATTAATTCCCAATACATATAATAGCAAACTTTTGAGGAATTTTATTTCATGATATTCGGTTAGCTATAGAAAGAGAGGAAAGTAGCTGTGGTTAGAATATAGCAAGTTTTTAAAGCAAAATCTATAGCTGATTTTTTAACTTGGTTTTAATCAACCTGAAATGAAAATAATCTAGTCACAATCAAGTAAAACTGCAGGTTCAGATGAATTCTGCGGAGTGGCCTAGTGTTATTAGACCATAACATTGAAGTGTGGCCACTATTTCTGGATGCTCAACTCAACCCAACTAATGCTTGATTTTCAGAGATGTTGAGAGCCAGGGAGCTGATCCCCTCTGAAAACCTGGCTTTAGACACTCTGATTGGACACCCAAAATTAGTAGACATATTTGAAACTTTTGGATTAATTCTATAGCTACCACAGTTCCGTGGGCATGTTACAGCCTAATAAGACAAGTTCCCTGCCCCAAAGAGATGACAATTTAAGGGGCCAATCCAGCATCCATTAAAATCAATGCAAGTGATTCCTTTCTTTCAGAGTTAGTTTGGGACTTATTTAGCCAACACACTGACAAAAGGAGGAGCGGAAGGGGAGAAATGACAGTTTGAGCGACTGAGTGGGGGGGCCTCAACAATAGTTTTGTTTAATCATTAAAATTCCATAATCTCCAAAACAAGGGAGGTAGATGGGTATTGGTTATAAAACTCCTTTAAGAATGATAGTTATAGAGTGACTTAGGGATGACATGTCAAACTGGGTCTAGATGTGCGTGTGTAGTTACCACAGCTGCATGCGTATGTTGAGCAATTGTACCTGCAAATGGATAGATGCCTAAATACCCAACTGTGCATGCAACTGCAGTAACTGTTTGTACAGGATGAATACAAAGTATACAAAGGTATATGTGCAAATGCACATACATTTTTACATATGAACCTCAAGGTCTTACTTCAAAGACTGATGCACCTATTTATCTCTGCACCCTTGAGTACTCCTACTGACTTCAATAGGACTGTTCACTTCTGTAAAATTAAGCATATATGCATAAGTCTTTTCAGGATCAGATTCTTCACTTTTGAAAGGCAACAATACTAATTAAGACATATTTATGATAGCAAAAAAAAATCAACCAAACAAAAAAAGATAGTCCACATAGTATCAGATTGCTTATAAAAATCTAAAAAAAAATTGTTATACACATCACCTGCTTATATAAAGTAAATTAAATAATTGAGAACATAATCAAATTAAGAAAAATCAAGAAAAAGTCATTGCTTCAGATAAATATGGAAGATCTTGTGAAACAAATATCCGAAAACCCAAATGAAAACAATAAAACCTAGTAAGTAGAACTGTGAAAAACAGAAGTAAAGCTATTGATGGAGAAAGTAGAGCTAAAAAGGTACAGAAACAGAATGAAAACAAAATAGTCACTATGGGCTACATTTAAAGGGAGGCTAAAATTGATTCCTTGGTGCATTTAAGTGGATTTTCTTGAAAATGTTTGTTAAATTGTAGTTTAATATGACTTATTTGCTGAATTTATTCCCACACTTTGGTTTGCAGTATGTTGTTTTTAAAAACACATAGACCTTGTTAATACCAGCATTCTTAGGTCTGATGTGTGCAGCAAAGCTCCGGTTCCAATTTTATTCAGAATTATTTTAAAGAAAGTTACAGTATGTGGGTGGTGTTGGGATGGTATCTCATGGGAAAGTGTGGTATCTGCACTCAAAGTCAATACATATTTTAGCATAATTATATATTCTTTGGCCCTTAGTCAAAGAGATATGTGTCATCCATACTGTACAATAAACATCAATTCCAATAACAAAACTGAGCCCCCTAATCCACAATGATGAAACATCTATTTTTTTTGTAACTGAGGCATTTCTGTAAAATACCTAATATGTACATTTGTTATGCAGTTTTGCAAAAACATGCCATTTGACCTGATTGATTTTAAAAATGTTTAGTTTATATTAAAACTGAATAATACTCTGACTAGTATAATATGTAAACTAGTAATTTTGTTTTGTATTCTCTGTATAAAATGTTTTATATTATACAGTAGCTAAGTGAATTGCACTATTGTACATGCAATGCAGTCTTTTTTTTTTTTTAGTTTAATCAATGAATTCCTGGGAATGTAGTTTAATGCAATAATATTTTTTTTCAATAAAAAGGCTTAATGCTATAAAGAGTGTCAGTCATGTATTTTTAATGTAAAGCATAAATGAGCAACAAAGTAAAATGCAGAATTATGTGAACATATTCTGTATTTTAATCTGTAGAACAGAAATATGTTTAATTTATCCCTGTAGCTATAATGCTGACATTTCTTAAAATGTTTCTTAAAGATTTTAATATGTGTTACAAAAGTGGGTTGTTTAAATGGAACTGAAAATAAATATTCCTTAAAAAATTATTCTACTGATGTGTTCTTTGCAAACACTTTTAATGGAGCAATGTCCCCTGGGAATTTGTTTGCACACTAAAATAATTAGGTTTTTTTAAATTATTCTGGTAACCCATTCTCCAGAACTGTGACTTTTCCCAACAATTTTGGCCCCTTCCTGCAGCTCCCTGGTTTTTACATTACTTCCCTTCCTCTGGCAAGTATCTCTTCAAGCTACGGAAGGAAGGGACAGGATACCGTCCTACCTTATTGCACACAGGGGATATGTGGGAACTGGCAAAGCCTTTCCGAGCTAACTGGAAATTATTTTACTGGTCAATAGAGTGATTACTGGGGTGGGGGAGAAGTGCAAGAACGACTGAGATAATTAAGGTCCTAGATGCAATAGCAACAAGAATTGCTTCCAAATAGGTTTTTCATAGTTTGCCATGAGGCACCAAACTGCTCTCTAGGGCTCTGATTCAATAAAGCATCCTCATTCAGCAAAGCACTTAAACATATGTATAACTTTAATCACATGCTTCAGATCCATTGCCTTTAATGTGCTTAAGTGCTTTGAGGAATGAGGATGGATTTTGGAACATAATTCAAAGCTCTGCTGAATCCGGGTGTCGGAGGCCCAGCCAGAGTCCACCGAAGTCAGTTGAAAGACTCCTTTTGACCTCAGTTAGCATTGGATTGGGCTCTGGAAGAGCTGCATTGTACTTGTTTAGAAAAGACCTACCACTTTGTCAGTACTTTTCATTATACCTTCTGATTCAGATGTTTCTTTCTTTGGAAAAAAATGAATTGCAGCAATTATAGACAGAAATAAACCTCCTGACAGCACTAATGGCTCTTTATTTTCAACGTCTGCTACTTTTAACAATAGCCAAACTATTTTCTGAACAGGTTTAGAGGGGCCCCTAAATGAGACATCTTAGAAGAATGCTCAGCCCAAAGTCATTTTTAATGACCTTACCTATAAATCCCTCAAATCAGAGATCAAGATGAAAAGGTTGATAGACTCTTAACTAGCAATGCAAGTAGCCCCTGCTCTGTCTGCAAACATAAAACTATATCACACATAAAAATCAATACGTCGTTCCTATGAGCCACTAAATTTTTCAGACAAAATAAATCTAGCACTTGCAAACCAATATATTAAACGTACTTATCAATTTTGCATATAAACCAGTTCTGTATGTACTAACCGCTGTATACAAATCAGTATGATTTATAAATAAATCATTGTTAATTGAACAAACCAATGAGTTTCCAAATACCTACCAATCTTCCATCCACATAGAAAACAATGTGCTTTATCCTATAGCTGGTCAAATAGAGTAAAACGTACACATATTCCATTAATTATTTACAAATCATTCATGAGACAACTGATTTCTATAAACCCCTATGGAAAAAAAATCTGCAGAAATAGATAACATCTGCAGTTTGTTTGTTTTTTAGACCACCCTATAGAATTCAATAGAAAGTTTGATCCCTGGCATAGTATTCTATAGGATTGTTACAAAAAGGAAAAAAATATGTCCTGTCTGCGAGGTCTAAAAGGTTAGGAATATTCACTATTGTGCCTTGTTGACCCCAGAATAAGTCACATAGGACTCAGGATGCTCAGATAATGGTTTAGGCTGTATTTAGACATCTGATTGAACCGGCTACATAATCTACCTCAGGCATATAGAACTCAAAGTGAAAGTGAAAGCAAAAGAATACAGTCTATGTAGATTGTAAGCTCCACAGGGCAGGGTTCTTGACTACTTAAATCTCAGTAAAGCAGAGTTCCCACATGTATGGTAAAATAAGCAAGGAACAGCATCCTGTCTGTTCTCTTGAAAAATGGAAATCTCCTTTACTGGTTGCTAGATTGAACCCTCAGCTACTGTTAGGGGACCATTACCTAACTTTATACAGAAATATCAAGTTGGACAATTTAAAAGCATGTGCTTTGCTGGAAACCCATAATAACAATATCCTTTGCATCCTTGTATGTGTTTGCTTTTAGTGAAGTGTGCAGAACACTTTTAGCATCTCTTGCAGATGGGCAGCACCTCTGAAATTTGGACTAAACTTCTGTAGGTGCCTAAATTTAGATACCCACATTTGAAAATTTAGGTACAGAATTAGGTGCCTAACTTTAGATACCCACATTTGTAAATTACAAACACACAAAAGCTTACATTGTATATAATTACCAGGTCATCTTCTGAGGAAATCTTTTTACTCACCATTGTCATGTGGATTTTTTAAGCCCTACCCGTATAAAAACAAAAAAATCTAAGTCCTGAAATATATGGGAAGATTTGCAGACCTCTTTTGTATACATATCTCCATTTCTGAGAAATTTAGTATGGCTGCCTGTGAAGAAGACTGACATAATTAAAAGAGTTGATCCCTGGTCTATTTTTTAGTTTACCAGTAATATTTTTAAAAGATCCATGTGACTTACAATCCTTAATGCTTTTATTAATACCATCTGTAATTAAAGAACTGAGAATATTTATTCGACTGTGTCCTACCCCACCTAGATATTAGAAGTTTAATCCTTACTATGAGCTTCCCTCCTGTGAGTATAATATAAATATATAAATATAATTCCTTAACGGAATTATATTTTTTTTCAAATGTAGAATTATTTTTCTTAAATAATTTGTGGGATAATTATTTCTCATATGACTTTCACTGAAAATGATGAAGGCCAGAGTGAAGAACAATAATGAATCTTATTGTGGGTTTATGATCAGAGCTTGCAAGTTGGAGAAAACAATTTTGCCTTTTAACTTAAACCTGCCAGACCCACCGACTTTAAAAAAAAAAAAGGGGTAGAGAAAGACTGAAGTGCCAAGAGTGGGTAGGAGGACCTGAATGGAACAAAGCAGGGTGAAGAAATGGAGTAAAGACAGACGGGAGGCTATTTACAAATGATTAAACTAGTATAGGGGTGTGTGAAAAATCTGAACAACATGTGAGATTGACCGCCCTGCAGCTTTAAGCAGAGGGGATTTGGCTGGCTGGTTGAATGAAGGGAATTGTGCTTATGGCTGGGGGTGAAAACTGCTGCAAAAGGAGTCAGCGTGGTTACTGACTGATCCCCTAGGAATGCAGGGTTTAAAAGGCACAGCCCTGTGCCTGAAGCCTCCCTTTTACATGGAGCAGGCTGAACCAGGACCCACCCTCCTTCCCCTTTATGCGGTAAAATACCAGGTTTGGTCAAGACCTGCTATGGGCATTACGCTAGCCACCCCTTATCACCATATTGGCTTGCGTGCAGTTGGGGTTTTTTTGCCTTCCCCACAGCGGGTTCAGGAAGGGCTTTATTCATGCATGGCATGAAGGGAGGTAGGCTATATGTCGCAACTCATTATTTAAGTGTGAGGCAGATGTCCACTGCAGGTACTCCATTGGAAAGGTATACAGTGACCGGATAAATGGCTTGGAAAAGGACTTAAAAAGAGGTGTTTGTTAAATGAATGAATGGGGGGTGGTTGGGGACTCCTATGATTGGTATGTGACGGAGCCAACCCCCAATTCTTAGAGCCCACCTTAACCCTCCTATGAGGGAGGTGGATGGTAAGGTCCCAGCAATGGATTTGCTGGAGGGACCTGGATGGAAAAAAAGGGGGAGGTGATGGAAGCCCAGGGGTGGCTCCAGGTACCAGCGCACCAAGTGCGTGCCTGGGGCAGGAAGCCTTCGGCGGCGTGCCTGCGGAAGGTCTGCCGGTCCCATGGCTTTGGCGGCAATTCGGCAGTGGGTACGCTGAAGCCGCAGGACTGGTGGACCTCCTGCAGGCGCACCGCCGAAAGCCACCTGACTGCCGTGCTTGGGGTGGCAAAATACATAGAGCCGCCC